AGTGCATTCTCTGCTCATAAAGTCAGACAATTATAAGAGCTTAATTTTGTCCCATCAGGACATATTTAGCCTGTGTACAGACCGAAATTTTCAGAAGGACATAGAACAGGCTAGGACATATTCCATATCAAGGATATAATTAAAGTAACTGACCAGAATCTGTAAATAGCTGTGCAAATTCTTTATTTTAGCTTACAGTGAAATATGCTGCAGAGGTGCGTGTAACTGATCTGCATCAGTTCTTATCTGGGAAAAGCAAGGCGGTTCCTGATGCTGTACAAGGGCTTGACATTGTATTACGACAGATACCGTCTCTTTATTTCACACCTATAGGAAGAAGTTTCTTTCCTCCTAACAAACCAGGATCTCCTCTTGGAGGAGGATGTGAGGTGAAAACTGGATTTTATCAGACCATTCGGCCATCAGAGTGGAAGACTATGTTGGTTAATATAGATGGTTAGTTCAAATGTTTAATCGATTCATTCAAGTGCCACTTTTGAAAAGAAGTGGACCTTTTTTGTCGGTTTAGCCATAAAARGCTTTGAAACTTGAGTTTACTGTTGTAATTTTTRTTCCTTGCTTAATTGAAAGCTCAGCAAGACTATTTTAATCAACGTCCTCTCAATAGACCTAATCGGCTAACGGCGTTGCTATGTACGTTGCAACTCAATTCAAATCCTGTGGGAAAAAGAACTTTTGTTTCTAAGAATTCAACTGTGAAATGAAAATACAGCAAACAATGAAACTTACTCCCGGGTTGTTTGAATTGGGTTGAAGCCGATTAGGTCTATAGTCTGAAATGTCCAGGAACGTCTGTGAAATGGCTGGCAAAATAATTACGTGTGACACAAAATGATGACAAGGTGCACAAAGCATGCTGGGTGATACTGGGCGTTTAMGAATCCAGAATAAATTCCATCATGAAAATTTATAAACATATAAATTATTTTCAGATTTTCTTACTATAAGTCTTTACACTGTCAATGGCACGCATGCGCGAGTAAACTTGAAAACATTAGGCTAATGTTTTCAAGTTTATGACTCCAAGTTGGCGCGACATAAATCAGCTCGTAAACGTAAACAGATCTAGAATATTCCAAAGTGTGTCAAAAGCACCACAAAATGATTTACCTCGAAGGTAATACTTTCAAAGTCCGTTAGAGGCGAGACTGTTACTGCGCATGTCATCCATTGACAGTGTCCCTTTAAGCTGAACTCGAAATCTGAAAATTATGATAAAATTAGTATSAGTGAGCATCAGGTATGTTGATCTACCCCGACATTAATTCTGTGTTTTTTTCGGCATATTTCAGTCTCTTCCAAAGGGTTTATGAAGGCTCAACCAGTTATTGATCTCTTGTGCGATATTGCTAAWGCTAATGATCGTACCATCAGCGATAGACAATGGAGGATGAAACATTATCAAGAAAAGGAATTCGTCGAAGCAGTCAAAGGTCAGCTGTAGTTTATAGTTTTGACCATGAAAACACAGCACAAGAACATCAGATATCTGTGCATCCATGTAATATCCGTCTGGTGTGTGTGCAAGGGCTTCTTAGGGCGGGTTCCAGCTTTGTTTTGTTGTTTCAAGTCTGTGAAAAAAGAGTATTGTTTTGTATTCACACGGAACGGCAAACTATTGGACCCAAAAAGGGTTAAATAAAGTTTCATGTTTCAAAATCTTGCAAAGAGTTCATCTGTCAAGGAAAGGGAATTSCCCTGGAACCTCTCGAAGCAGCCCCCTGCACAAGCCCATTTTGTTTTTCACTTCATAGGTTTCAAAGTTGAAACGAACCACATTCCAGGGAAGAAGCGCAAATACCTTGTGAATGGTATAGGCAAGAATGCTTTTGACTATAAATTCAAACTCGAAAGTGAATCAAGAATGATATCAGTMAAAGAATACTTCAAGGAGATGTATAACATAGACTTGAGGTGAGACAACATTAACATGATATTACTGGTAAATTTTCCCATTAGACCAACTTCAAGTTTGGCTTTATTTTTGTGCAGGTTTCCTCATTTACCTTGTCTTGTTGTGGGACAAAAGAAAAACTACCTTCCGATGGAAGTGTGTCAAATGGTGGAGAGCCAAAAAAGAAAACTTACTGATGATCAGACTGCTGCTATGATTAAAAAAGTTACATGTCCGGCCAAGCGCAGACAGAAAGATATTGAAGAATGGGTACGGTATTGCTKTATTGGGCGTTAAAGCCTGGTTTTCACTACGACTTAAACCTAAGCCCAAATGTCGTGTGAAAACAAAACACAAGCGCAAGAACGCACAAAAAGAAACAATCCTAGTGCCAATGCGCTTGCAGGACTGGCACTAGTATTTTCATYGGTCGAAACATTGTGTCTGCGTTTKTGTTTCATTTTTATTGACGTAGCGCCGAAGTGAGAGCAAACGCAGCCCCAAAATCAAGCACAAGAAAAGGRAACATTTTGATCCTTGTGTTTCGGTTTGCGTTTAAGTTTGGACTTGCGTGAGTCGGTTTTCACGGTGTTTATGAGCCTTGCGCACTTGCACTTAGCATTGGGCTTAGGTTTAAGTCGTAGTGAAAATCAGGCATCTCCTCTCGCAGCTGTTATTTGGATTGTACCATGCTCTCTCCCCGCGACATAGGATCGAGACAAATAATGGCTGCGATAGGGGACTATGGTGACTGACGTTTCTATTTACCCGTAATTTGAAACTGATATGAACTATCAAAAGAGTTGCTCCTTTTCATTTTTCTTTTACGTGAAAAAAAAAAAAAAACAACTAAACATGGCTTGATTCCAAAATGAGAGAAAATATCCCATTTCCTCCATTTTGAGCGAGTGCTCAGAATGTATTTTCAATTGCTAGTTATCAGAAGTATTCCTAAATGTACAGATAATTTGAGTAATTTGAAATCTGTGTAATCGAATTATGTATGGTTGGGTTTGCCCAATGACATCCATTCACAATCGCGAACGTAATTGGCTTTATAGCTCAGTGGGTAGAGCTCTGCACCGACATATCAGAGGTCAACGTTTGGGGCGATACATTTAAATAGATTATTYATATACTTAGACATTTATTCAAGGCAGTTCGGACCATAATTTCAACAGATCAGAAATCTTTTTAGTATGAATGAAGCCWGTAACTGCAGGTAGAATTCCRCACCAATAATTTTCACATAGAATGATGACCAAAAACCGTTTTATTTGTTTTGCTATGCTTCCCTGCAAAACTATCCTCCACATCGTTTCTTTCCAACAGGCAAGTCAGTTACAAGGCAACAGTGCCCAGTATCTTCACGACGAGTATGGCATGTCCATTAAYAAAAACATGGTTGATGTGGAAGGCCGAGTCCTTGACCCTCCTAGGGTCTMCTTGGGAGGAAAAGGTACCATTGTGCCACATAACGGCGTTTGGGACATGCGCAATAAGATGTTCTTCCAAGGTACTAGCATTGATGTGTGGGCCATGCTTTGCTTTGTTGATCAGAGAAGGTGTGGCAAAGACGTCACCAGAAAATTTGCAAATGTCATGTCAAAAGTCTGTCGTGACGAAGGAATGTCAATGAATGGAAGGCCTTGCCACATCCAATATCCACGGACAAACGATAATGTAAGTTTTTAACGACTGTCAGTGAAAATAATGTGTGCTCGCGTCATTAAGAACCAATCAATAACTTAAGGCAATGTGCAGCGACGCCATTTTGTGCAGTAAAGCATGCGCTCTATGATATCCTCTTAAAAGCCTTYTTTACGCTTTCTATGCAGAAAAGGCTTTGAAAAAGCAGAAACATTTCAGAAGGACAAAAATACGACAAGTATAACACTACCATCAAGCTTTGCTGCACAAAATGGCGTCGCTGCAAATTGCCTATTCTCCAGAGTCTCTAACGCATCTCTTTATGCATTTTTTATTTCTTCTCTTTGGTGTCGATTCTCATTTTCTGTCCTTTTCCCGTTCATCCAATTATTCAACCACCCCTCCATTTATTTAAAATGTTAATGGCAATTCAACAGATTGAGCAAATTCTGTCGAATTTGATCGAAAGATACAAAGACCTTCAATTAGTTTTGGTAGTTTTACCCGCTCAAGGAAACAAGGATGTCTACAAGGAGGTSAAACGCGTCGCTGACACGGTTCTTGGAATCCCAACGCAGTGCGTTCAAACTAAACAGTTCGAACAAGCAAAGCCCCAGGTGTGTTCCAACATTGCCATGAAAATCAATGCTAAACTAGGAGGAATCAACCACATCGTAGATCCATCCGACATGCCACCTGTCTTCCAAGAAGTCATTGTCTTCGGTGCAGACGTRACGCACCCCTCCCCTGGTGAGAGCAATATCCCATCAATCGCCGCTGTCGTGGCTAGTGTCGATCCTCACGCAAGTAAGTACGCTGCCCGAGTAAGAGCGCAGACTCACATGAAAGATAARGCAGCGCAGGAGATAATTTTGGAAATGAAAGCGATGGTAAAAGAGCTGCTGATTGAGTTCTATAAAGCGACGCGAAAAAAGCCACAGCGGATTATCTTTTATCGCGATGGTGTRAGCGAAGGTCAGTTTGATCAGGTTCTTATCCATGAGGTCAAAGCCGTCCAACAGGCATGCCTGGAATTACCTGGTGAGTACCGTCCCCCGATCACGTTTATCGTGGTGCAAAAGCGACACCACGCGAGGTTATTTTGTACTGACAGAGCCGACGAGTCAGGAAAATCTGGTAACATTCCCCCTGGAACAATGGTCGATCGTGGTATCACACAYCCTTATGAATTTGATTTCTACCTATGCAGCCATCAGGGTATCCAGGTGGGCTCATTTTTTAATTTGTATTTTGTCTGTGGGAAAACTGTAGCTTGTTATAGACCTCTAATACATGGKGYAATGCTTCAGCAACTTGTGTCGCGAAACAAGTTACTAAGAAAATTGCACAGTATGACAGCACTTTTATCCTAGTTGGTTTCAATAGGCCTTTTCTGAGATAGCAGTTTCCATTGCATTGTGGTCTAGATTCGGTACAAATATCTTTTGTTCATGCTGCCAAATATGGCGTTCTTTGTACTGAAGTAGACCACAATGCACTATGATTTTGTATTTTAGGAAAGGCCGGTGGTCTATGGTAGAAACTTTTAAAGCAGATTTTTTTTAAAGCTGTTCGTTAGACGATTGTATTTTGAAACGCCCTTATTCGAGCCAAGCTCATAGCAAAAGCTATTTCTAGATATCGACATTTTCATTCCGGTTTTTCTWAGATAACCCTAACGATATTRATTWATGMTKATTGATGACGTCATAYTGTGTCGTTGCTAGGGAACAAGTCGTCCAACCCACTACCACGTGCTGTATGATGATAATAGCTTCGATGCCAACTCTCTACAAAAGCTGACGTACCATTTATGTCACACGTATGCACGATGTACTCGAAGTGTATCGATGCCCTCCCCGGCTTACTATGCTCATCTAGTGGCGTTCAGGGCAAGRCATCACTTAAATGGGCTTGCATCGTAAGTATGCTGCACTGTAATTCCGGGGGGGGGGGAATTATTGTCAGCACTGATCGGAATGGGTCTTATGATAGGTTGAGAAAACAWTGGACTAATAATAGATAGGTCTTCCAACAATGAAACAAACAAAACCTAAAAAAAGCGATACTCAATGTGACATAAGCCTTTGTTATTCATGTGTCAACTTTGTTATTCATGTGTCAATGAGTTTGTTGATAACAACAACAACAACAACAACAACAATACTTTATTTACATTTGATTCAATTAAATACAAGAAGTATTGCTACCCGCAATTAGTTTAAACTATTCTAGGCGGGTGCAATAGAAAAAAGGTATATAATAATGGATTAAAATTTAATTTACAAAAATAAAGAATATATGATGTATTTACAAATATTATGAGAAAGAAAGAGAACGGACGAAAGAAATTTCAAGATGTACATAATAGTATATATTTTCTAGCAATAAAGGAGGCTGTTCTGCATTTAGTGAATTGTCTATGATTAATTAATAATTTGCTTCAGTATTTGAGAGCGGAAATCAATATAGTCATCAGCTAGTTCCAGAATATCAAATAGAAGACTTTTTATTTTAAATCTAAATTGAAGTTTACTTAAAATTTTCAGTGATGATGGAAGGCCATTCCAGATTTTGGTTCCGGTTATTACAAATGAGCGATAAACATTGAGTATCGCTATGGAGCTGCTGTATTTAAAGGGCCAGTGTGCACCATTATGCTTTCGGGCCGCGAKGGTCTGGCGGCGGCCATTTTCAGTTTACCGAAAGTCTATACTGAACTGTACTGTGCGTTTCAAATCCGCTCATCATATCTTGACCATCTCACTTTTCTAAGCACTTTCAACGCTAATATTATAGTTTTCAGCCATCGGACATTCCTTTTATGGTGATATTTGGACACTAGAAGTATTTTTTATCTAAAATCTTAACAATAACAGAGGCGCGCAAAGAATGATGGTGCAAACTAGGCCTTTTTAAAAGCAGCAATCAAAAAGCAGGTTTACGCTCGGTGCTGTATTACTGGGTGTCTTTTGTATTTGACTGGGATTGACATTTTTGAATCTTATTTCCAGGAAAAGACATGAAGATGGTAAAAGTGATGAAGAGGTACGAAATGAATGGTGTAAAGCAATTAATGTCAACGAGAAGTTGAAGAAAGCAATGTACTTCGCGTAAATGGTGTCGTATCACTTCCAATGGCAGATCATTAAAGATAAGCAAAGGTTGTGTTAAAGGGGCATGGTCAACCAGCATTCATTGCGGTCGTGTTATAGTTTTTTTTATTGCACAAATGAGGTGACTTCAGTTTTAAAGTCAAATATCTCCGTTCATAAACTGGAAAAAAATCGCGCAGTTTAAAAGGTTGTAAATTTGATGTAATTATGATGTAAGTGTCCAAAATGGCGTAAATTTGATGTAAAAAATGATTTACATCACTTTTGGACACTTACATCATATTTAAGTAATGTTTACAACATGAATTTGGCTGARAAAATTAGATTTGAAGTTTATGCAAATCAAGACAGTTTTGTATCAAATATTACAACACTCTCCACGGTTGCGATTTCTATTGTGTTTTCCTCATTAATTATTYATTTTTACAAGTCAAATTTACAACCTTTAAAGTGCGCGATTTTTTCCAGTGAATGTCAAAAAGGAATAACAAAGATAGAATGTTTGTCTACATTACGGTTCATTTATTTTTTGTCAAGGAAAAGCTTGCAAGGGATGCCGGTTGATCATAGCCATTCGYATGTAATGTTGTGTTCATCTTGTCATATGAAATGGCATCGCTGCTCACTGTCTAATGGGCGAAAACAGATT